CTGTAGGGTTCTTTACTGAGGGAATGAAAAATGGATTCAAATGGGAAACACTTTCCTGTGATTTGAGTCCTGCATCAGCTAAGAAACATACAAGATTGATTGTGTAACCTTCATAAGCCAGGTGGATAAAATGCAAATATTCAAGCAGCATTTTTTAGATACAGAAAAAAGCGCTTTTATTTTTAAAAATCTTAAATTCATGGTTATTGGATGAATTAATGCAGAAACAAGAACTGAATTCAGCCAATTTGCCAGTTTTTCCATCCTAAATAGATTATATGATATGACAGTGTTTGTCAACCTTGGCAACTCTTAGATGGGTGGAATTGAATTCCTAGAATTTGTCCATTCATCTTAAAGTTGCTAAAGTAGAAAAAGAAAACCTGTGAAATGACAATCTTAGGTTCTCTCTCTCTTGTTTCATATTCTGTCACTTCTGAGAATTGTTCATGCTGGCTAGAAGTGATGGGAGTTTGCTTGCAACAACATTTGGAGAGTCATATTTTTTCATATGATTTACAGGAAGATTTTAAAAATGGTATGGTGCCATTTAAGTGGTAACTCAGCCCTTTAATACGAAGATGTACACTCTATTTTACTATCTTACTTTGAAAAAAAAAATTGATATAAAGGTAATGATATGCGACTGTAGGTTTAGAAATAACTAGTTTCAAGTGTACGTATTTGCACGCATAACTGCGTGTGTTTGATTTCTATCCTGCCATTCTATTTGAATGAACACTCAAAATTGCTGGCAAAAAGTAAAACATAAGAAATGCACTTTTACAATGCCAATGGAAAACCAGTGCTAACATCAGTATTAGTGAAGGTGGTGTGTTTGCACTAATTTTTGAAACGCAGAAATCCAAACACCGAATCACACAAGAGAAAATTCAAACAGGTTCATAAAAGTAGAGCTGGTTCCTAAAATATTTGCACCCTAAGTTCTTTAGGACTTCAAAAGTTAACACAAACACCTTATTTTCTGACCAGAAAAATGGTTGGTAACTGATACTTTTAACATGTGCATCTGATGCTCCCAGTGGTGCATATAGCTCAGCAGTTTATTGGTTAGGGCTTTGTGCCAGTTGAGTCCTGGACACTTGTTTGAAGGAATCCTACTTGGATACTTTAATCTTCAAAGTCCTGTTGAAGCAAAACAAGACATGGATACATGCTACCAGTTTTGATGAGTACAAGAATAAACGCACTAAATGCTACTGTGAGATGTTCTTCTTGTCCCAACCACATGAGATTCCCATGTTCTTCAAGAAACAGGAAATGTGCTCAAACTGAAGAACCAATCTTTGGGGATAATCTTGCAACTCCATCCAAGACAGGATGAATCCCAGTTTCTGAGTCCAGTTTCTTGGTAGCACCTTGGTGTTGTCTAGATTTACTTTCAGCTAGTTCTCAATTATTCACCTCATAGTTTTGTTCAGATAATATTGAAAGGTTCTATCAGTTATCTTGGAGTTGGATAATAAGGCCACATTTCGGGAAAAAAAAAGATGTCTTCCATGAGGACACAACAGTGGCAGAAAAATATTCTTCACTGCCGTGGAGTAGGGATACTAATGAGTCAGTTTGATTTATCTAGAGATTGTCTCCATTGCACTCAAGCTGTTGTCCCAGATGCTACATTGCTCCCTGCTCTCTAATAAATCCAAGGGGCTGATTTGGCTTTGCAAGAGGAAGAGGACACTTAGGAATTAAAGCATCATTGCCTGAACTGAAACCGTCATCCCAGGTTTTGACATGCCACAATAGCATTCCTCAATCCATATGGTAAAGCCATTCCACAGAGTGGCCTAAATAAATGGAATTCGTTCTTTTCTTTTCCTAAACATCTCTGCCACATATACAAAGGCACATGCAAAAAGGCTGCATCGTTATAATTCCACTAAAGTTTACAAGGAAACTAAAGCTGAGCCAGTAAATTATTTCTGATTAGCTGGTTACACTGAGGAGATCCAGAGAACTGTTTGCTTGATTGAGAAAAAAAATAGTTTGCCTTTCTCCATTTCTATGTAGTAGAGAATAATGTTCAAAAGGTAATGAGGACTGCCTGACAACATACATACAGGAGACTCAGATAATTTATCTCCAGCTATCTTTTATACCAGGGGTCATGAACCTTGCGGACCTCAGGGATGACTAAATTCATAATTTTAAATCCCATGGACTACTAATATCTGCCTAATGACTGGCTGGGTGGGCACGGCCAACTCGATGTCACTCACATCGAGGGGTGCCTACTCGCCCCTCCCCTTCCAGTCACTCCTTGCTTCCCCACCCGGGCTCCTTAGGCCCCCAACAGGAAGCAGTTGTTGGAACGAAGCAACCACCACGAGAAAGAGTTGGCAAAACAGCTCAGTTCAAATTGGATCTCACCAAGAAGGAGGCTCAGCAGAAGTACCTCACTGAGAAGTATGAGCATAGGCTTTCTAAGCAGAAGGAAGACCTGCAAGGCCAGTTACTGGCGCCTGGTGCCTCAGTGGGCTGAGATGGTCAGCCAGTTCCAGGCCATGATGCAGTTCCACTGGAACAAGGCCCTCCGGCTCTTTGCCACTAGCAGCACTTCCCTCCAGCCTTCGCCCAAAGCCCCGCACCAGGACGCTGAAGCAGACCCCAAGTCGGAATTTCTTCCCCACTCTGACCCACACAAAAAGGAAAGGGGTAGACTCTCTGCAGCAACACAAATGTCCATTGCATGTATCCAGCCCAGGGCCGTAGTTTGAGGACCCCTGATTTAGTGCAATATAAAAAATGCAAATAATTTATCTGCAGACCATCAAAATTTTATCGTGGACCACCAGTGATCCACGGACTACCAGTTGGTGACCGCTGCTTTATACATTGAACACTGAAGATGCACTAAAACCAGGACTAATAATTTCACTTGGCGTTTGTTAATGTAAAGTTGTCCTACACTTCCTCCTTCTGCATAAAATTCTTTTTATAATCTGGATTTAATTTCATTTCCTTAGAGAAAGAAATTCTCTATGAAAGCTTTTCATATACAAATTTGATTGGTTGCACAACTACCTGCTAAGTTTTAGGAGTGGCCGAAACAATCAAGTTCTGCATTTTGAGGCTTTAAGCAGGAAGTTCTGTTTTTCATCATCTTCTCTTTTCATAATGTTCTTAGAGTACTTTCCATTTTCTATAGAGCAAAAGCTCACAAATTCCAGCTCTTCAACAACACTTCAGTTCAGACAATGACCAGGTGGCAGCCAGAAGAAAATCGACTAAATATTTGCCATTGTCTGCAAAATGTATAGCCAAATGCCAACCCTAGTTAGAAGGATTTTTCAAAAAAGAAATGTAATCACTTGATGGTATGACAGGTAAGGGAGAGAAGAAGAAAAAGAAGTCTATGGAATAAACACCGTTGTGCATGGCAACCGGGGAAGACTTTTTATATGTGTGATGACATTGGGTAAGGCCAAAATTTCAGGGGAAAGAACTATCATCTTGTTATGCATTCTCCCCATCAGAGCATTACTGCGACATCTGATTTAAACTCAGAAAAGCGAAAGGAAGGATGAGTTTGAATTACTATTATATTCTTCCGGGTTGAAAATAGCCTTAACACCCTTTTCCCTTGTGACAGCCCCATAGAAGGCAACCCCTTCCATCCCCATAGTGTTAACTCTTTCCTTTTGAAAAAAAATGCTTTATATAGTTATTTGCATCTTTTATTTACTTCTTTTTCCTACTTTAGACTTTTCTCCAGAGACTGGAATCATTTGGAAAATTGACAGAAATATTTTTAGCTGATTTTAAAATGGGCATTCCATAATTTGGCCTTAGTTGCTTATATACAATGTTCTGTTACTTTAACTGTCGATAGGTCCAATGATAGAAAGGTGCTGCTTGGGGAGATCTGATATATTTTTATTCAGAAACAATGTGTGCCTAATGAACAATAATTTTAGCTGGAAACATATTGGGATTCCCTTAATGAATTTATAATGTGTAATTACTTCAGGAATCCATTCTTAGTCTCCCTTTCTCAGAGTTTGCTCATAATTATAGTTTGATTAGGCTATGATCTCCAAGGACAAAATGCAAAATCTTTTTTTAATAACAGACATTGCAATGCATTTGCATCAACATCCCCACACCCTTTAGGTTTTTATTTATTTATGTATAAATACATGTCAATACCACAAGATGGCACTTTCGTACTTGCAACATTTACTACTACACATATGTATCTTCTTCAAGATGTTCCAAATGTAGACTTGTAAACTTTTTTAAAAAGCAAGATCTTGTACAAACAGCTTGTTTGTGTGTATCTGTGTGTGTAATAAATAAAAGTCAGAGAATTATTTTTTTTAAAAAAGAATAATAAATAATTGCAGGTAATAAAATTTAAATTACAAAATCAGAATGTATATTAACCAACTGAATTAAAGTTTTCAATAGTTAAAATGTACCTAAATGGCTCGATACCAATTTAAAACAATCCTCTTCTCACTTCCTTAATCATTAATATGTTTGTCCAACAAGGAAGAAAGAAAAACCTTCTCATGAATAAAAAAAAAATGGCCTGGATTATATGCTGCAAAATTTCTGGTTTATTGTTATCTCCTTTGGCAGAAGGAAAATCAGATTATTTTGTGATCTAAGAAACTGAGTCAGTCTGGAAATCAAGGAACTCTGGATCTTTCGATAGTTTCAAATGTAACTCAAATATAAACTCTAGAAAACTCATTGTTGAAAGTGGTGAAGAAAAAAGAAACTTTGCACTAATATAGTGCATAATGACGTAGCGTCCAGTTTGTCCTTTACAGTAAATGTAATCTTATCTCCCCCCCCCCCCCCGCACAGGATTGTCATGCTTTCAAAAAATTAAAAAAAAATCAGTAGAAGACTGTAGAACTTATTTGTCCATATTCCAATGGTTAAAAAGGAAGAGATGTAATTCTGAGGTCCCCTCTGGGGAAGAGTCATAAAGATATACCATGTTTCAGATATGCTAAAAGGTAAAACCGGTCAAGTTTGGAAGTTAAGATTCTGCCGAATTACCGGTATATCAGATGCCAGATTCTCCCAAAGAAAAAAATAATAAAACCCAAAAACTCATCAGCTGGAATCTTGTATCAAAAGAGGCGGGGGTGGGGTGGGGGACAGCGGTTAAGGCAGTCAATGTCTACATTTGGGTGGTAGTTTCCATCTTACATATCAACATCTCCATCGTAGGCTAAAGTCAGACACTTCGGCGGAGGAGGAGTATGTTGTGGCTGTTTTGGTTTTTTGCTGAAAAGAAAGAAAAACATTCATTCGTTAAGGAAACCAAACAGGTGAGGGGCACAATCCAGGCAAAGTTAAACCCTCATCTTAAATCCAGGCAAAGTTAAACTCCAAAATTAAACCTTTGAAAAGGTTTCCCTTTTCAAAACTGGGAGGCTAAATTGAAGTTATTTTAAATCCCCCCGCACACATAGGCCATAGGTAGAAACCATAGAATTGGGGCTATTTGAGAAATGCATACAGGTAGCCCTTGACTTATAACCATTCATTTAGTCACCGTCTGAAGTTACAACGGCACTGGAAAAAATGAGTTATGACCATTTTTCACACTTAAAATTGCAGACATGAAACAAACAAAATGTTAAAAAGTTATGATATTTATGTAGTTACCTACCAAGCACATCTAAATTATAGCAATAGCACTTAGACTTATACAATGCTTCACAGTGCTTTGTGGTGAGTTGCAGGAAGTACGTCCCGGTACGGGGCCTGCCCGGAATACCGGGTACTGTTCCGGTACAGTGCTCCGGAGGGCCACCCGCCTGCCCGTCGTCCTTACCTGTCTTTAAACTCTTCAGAGTTTCTGTGCACGGCGCTTACAGTGCCTGCGTGATGCTCCGCTGAGCAGTTGGAGCATCACGGAGGTATTGCTGGAGGATAGGATGCATGCGCATGCTGCGCACGTGTGCATGCCCACTACACAAGTTCATGTGGAGGATGCCGGTTGCAACGGGATCCGGAAGCCACCAGTGTTTATAGCCCTCTCTAAGTGGTTTACAAAGTCAGCATATTGTCCCCAACAATAATCTGGGGCCTCATTTTACTGACCTCAGAAGGAGAGAAGGCTGAGTCAACTTTGAGCCAGTGAGAATCGAACTGCTGAACTGCTGGCAGCAAGAAGTCAGCAGAAGTAGCCTGCAGTAATGCACTCCAACCATTGCACCACCAAATTATATTAAGGTAACCAAAATATTTTTACAATCCCCAAGGCATGTCACAACTTTTGAGCATCCCTGATGTTTGGAAATTGAAAGCTGAAAAAATTGGCACGCCCATTGGTCATGTGAGCAAAACTCAGATGTTCTGCAACTGACTCATATTTATGATGGTTGCAGTATCCTAGGGTCATGTGATCAACCTTTGCGGTCTTCTGACAAACCAAGTGAATGGGGAAGCCAGATTCACTTAACAACGGTGGCAAGAAAGGTAGAAAAATAGGACAAAACTGTCTTGCTTAGCAACAAAAATGTTGGGGTCAATTGTGGTTGTAGGTTGAGGCCTACCTGTATACCCCATTTCTTTTTGCAGCCCTTGAGGACTACACTGTATAAATTCAATGACGAATCCCTAAAAATGACATGATTTTCCACCATTTTTGGATGACCTAGTACAGCAATAGAATGTCATAAGCCTTTGGATAGTCGAAAAGGACCTAAAACAGTATGTCTCCCTGAACCACCATTAAAAGAAAATACCCTCATAAAAATTAACCCTATTCACTAAAGTAAAATCATGATACAACAATCTTATCTTTCCCATAGCTCTTAAAATATTTGAATAAGTGGGATTACAGTTTCCCTGAATCAAAGAATATTGCCCCAACCTTTTATTAACACATTTGTGGGGAAAACAGGAAGAGGAAGGTGTGTTGGAATTGTTCAATGCCTTGAGTTATTTGTAAAAATAATAAAGATGGGAAATAAATAAATAAATAAATATTTGCTGTTGAAGGATGAATTCAGCAATGTAGTTGGAATCTTAAAAAAAAGACCTGTATGTATGTGTATTTGAGAATCAAAATGCTATGTAGAAGGCTTATTTTTTAAAATTAAATCAAGTTTTAAAATACAAATTAAAATAAGCAGTTTTAGCTATGTAATAGTGAAAATAACTAATAAAATCCTTTTATTAATAGGAACTGCCCAGAGTCACTTAGACATTGAGATGGGGGAAGTGTATACATTTGATAAATAAATGTTGCTCCAAATTATCTTGGTATTTGTTATAGTAAAATAAGATATATTCAATTCTCTAGTCTTCCACAAGCCCATTTGTCCAGAGCCATTTCATAATAGTTCCTAAAAAAGAAGAGACAAACTACTACTAAAATGAAAAACTTTTTATCAGTTAAGAACTAATATGGTGATATCATTGAATAAAACTCTATCTGCACACCTTATCCTTTTCTCTTGGACTTGAATGGATATGAATATATCTGTCTGTCTATATGTATGTATATAGTGCCACGGTGGTGTAGAGGTGAAGACACTTGCCTCCCACTTGGAAGGTTGAGAGTTCAATCCTAGGGAGTAGCAGATGTTTCTCTATCAGGGCTCAAAGAGAAAATATCTGCTCCAGTCAGTCACTCTGACTCCACTCCGAATAAAGGGATTAAAGAGTCGTAAAAAGAATATAAATAAATAAATAAATAAATAAATAAATAAATAAATAAATACATACATACATACATACATACATACATACATACATACATACACATACATACATACATATCAACTTAAATAAAATGTCTAGGCGATTCTCAGCCATCCAGGTCATAGTTATCCCAAAGGTAGTTTTTGAAGAGACAACTAGACTTTCTTGTTTTTCTTTGAACATGTTTACTTCTCATTCAAGAAGTTTCTTGAATGGATTTATATTCCTTGCAGACAGCAGGTCATTTGCATTCTTTTAGAGAGGCCATCTATTGAACAGCCCTCTCTCAACAATCGGGGAGGGATACAACATCATCTATCACCAGTCTACAACGCAGTCCTTTAAAAAGTTCCAAAGAAGGCTCCACACCCATTTGCACCACTCAGGTGATCCTGGTGACACAGATAAACCTCCAGGTGGCCTTAACGATTCGCTAAAAGAATGCAAATGACCAGCTGTCTGCAAGGAGTATAAATCCTTCCATTCCCCTCCATCCATTCAGAGCTGAAGAAGCTTCTTGGATGAGAAGTGAAATGTCTTCAAAACCAGAAAGTCCAGTTGCCTCTTGAAAAAGCACCTTTGAGACAACCCAAATAAAAGGATTGGAGCATCCTTTCAGGATGATAGGCTAAACTAAACCGGTAAATAATGTGAGCAGATGAAAAGGTTTTCAAGTGATACTTAGCTTTCTAATTACAGAGAATATAAAGTAACCTCAGAATTTTAATCTCTGAAAGCTATTTGTAACTTTGATACCAATGAATGAATTCTAATTTATTTCCAAATGACTGAATGTGAATCCAACATCTCGAAATTAACAGGGTTAGAATCAAGCACAGAATACATACCAAAGAAGATAGGAGGTGAAGATTAGGAAAACTATAATGAGAAATCCGCCAGCTGATACTCCATATACCCAGATTTTAAGTTTTCCATCTGAGAAAGGGGAACAAAATAATACATTTGACACGAGGTGTATATTTTGCTTATTTTCTGTCTGTTAAAAATAGGAAAACCTTGTAACCATTACTTCCTGAATTTGCCTGAATCTACGAACCATGACAATCTATATAGAAACAACCAAAGAATCATGTTAAATAAACAGAGCTACCAGGGAAGTTGCATCTTAGGAGAAAAGAAGGGCAAATATGGCCTTTGTGTACATTTGAGTATATTGTTTACAGTTCTGTACGCTTAAGTACATTTTAATTAGGGTTGTTGGTTTTTTTGAAAAAATGGGATTGCGCTTTCCTAGAGTGAGATATCCTGAAAAATGCTAATAGGTATGGCTATATCAGTGTTCAGAGCCTCTCTCTCTTGAAAATAACCTTTATGCATATACAAGTAGTTCTCTACTTGCAACATTCATTTATTGACTCTTTGATGTTACAATGGAACTTAAAAAGGTAACCTACGCCTGTTATTCACACTTATAACTATAGCAGCCTCCCCAGGGTAACATGATCAACCTTTGAATGCTTGGCAACTGGTATGATTGTTGCAGTGGCCCAAGGTCATGTGATCACCTGTTGGTGCAATCCCTGGCAGGGACTACTGCCGGTTCGCTTGTGGGTGCGCTGCATGCGCGTGATTTCTACACATGCACAGTGCAATAAAAATTGTTCTGTGCATGCACAGAAGTGAAAAACAAGATGGCCTCTCCCAGAGAACTGGTTTGGGGGCAGTGTAGGCCTGGGTCGCTGCTGATTCCAGCAGCCCAGGCCGCCAAACCATTACCGGTTCAGCCGAACCAGGCTGAACTGGTAGGAACCCACTATTGCTTGCAGAGCCGAGGTGGGCATGGATACATCCGGCCCGTCAGCCACCAGTTTGACACCCCTGCTCTATTTTATCTCCATGTAATCAGAAGAATAATAGCTCACCATCCAAGGCTACAGGTTTATCACAGATACACACAATGCCATTAGCTCATGTCACAATTTGTTACGCACCACTTCCAGATGTCTGCCACTCTTTGGCGGACAGGATAGGTAGGGTAAGAAATATATTTCAGCCAGTGGACTACTTAGAATTTTAAGAGCACATGGAAGGTGCTCTTGCAAATGGTTGACAAGGGGATCTTTGAGTTGAAGTAACATGTTATCAAAGCAGCCATATATCATCTGTGAAGGCCAGGTGAAAGTGTTGTGCTATGACTAAGGAGATGAAGTTCAACTTCGCCTTCAGCCTTGGAAGCTCCCTGGGTGATTTGGTCTCTCTCTTTCTCAGCCCAATATACCTCAAGGCATTGGGCTGCAGGAAATTATGGAAGAAATGAGTGTTCCCTTTAAATTCATGAGGGAAATCATATAATACAAATCAGCAAACTAACCATTAAGTGGAGGACAAGAGGAAGGAACCTGGTGATCATTATGAGAAGGTCTCACTTTAGAAGAATGGTCAACAGCTTCATCTGCAAAGCAGTAGATAAACAACCTTCTTCTGCATTTACAGTCCTTGTAGCCATCATGAATAATGGAAAATATACCGAACAGCAGGAATCCTGCAATTGCACGATTCCAACTTGTTATTTGATTATAACTGCACTATAACATTGCAGTGTTTGGCAGCTACATTTGGAGTTGAACACAGATCACAGGTATCGAGAAATGCTTTACGTTGACCTTTTATGTTTTTCTCTCTCCTCCTTATAGGAGAATCTCTCCTACTTATATTTCTGATTAATCAGTGAAGGGAATGTCATTAGCTTCAGCATTGTAAACTGAAATCCCAGGTCATGCTACAGAATAATGCTCTTGCACAATTTTATGCTAATGATATTCATATGATTATATTACAAATGAGAGTTTGTATATCCTCTAGTGTAGTTTCTGGTTATGTGATTCACTGAGCATGAAGCTTACTTTTCAAATTAAGAGAGAAAGAGAGAGAGAGGAGACAGAACATCATGACACAATTTGTTATTTTTACCTGGGTTAAAAGGCTGAATTGACCATCCTTTGAAAATGTCATGCATTTTGGAATTGATAGGTTTATGCTTGGCAGCATTTGTTTTAACATCAGCTTTCTTATCTGCTAAACCGGGTATTTTCATGCAGTAATCCAGGAAGCCATTTGATCTCATTATTTCAGTGTAGCCTCTCTCACAGCCACAGATGCCACCCTAGGTAACAAGGAGAAAGGTGGTTCAGAAATTAATTCGTCCCCAGAAACTGTTTCTGCTGGGGGGCTGCTGGGTGCACCCCAGTTAATCTAATGCCAGGTGCCTTTATTGTTTTAACTGAAAGCCCAACCTAGACCAAGGACTTACTGTAAATTGCCAATACCTTTCAAAACTGTTTGAGTCATACTAAGTATAACAGAACAATGGAGTGCCTGTTCCTTCTTTTAATGAGCCTGGATAAATGGGTTGCAACAGAATCACTGAACACAAAAATTCATCTTGCCGAAAGAACCCAGCTGAAAACCCTGCAGCGATGAAAGTAAAACGTTTTCCCCCTCAAATAAGATATTGTTCATTTAAGGCTGCAATTCTGTGTGGAAGGACGGGTGGCCAGCTTGACTTGACATCTATTTAGAATAAACGCATAGGACTTGCATCGTGATATGCATCAACATTTAATTATTTCAAATTTGATGGTAAGGCTGTATATGGGTTTCAAAGTAAAAGCAGAGTTTCTGTGTTTCAACATGCTAATGTTTTGATTGATAGAAAATAATAAAGATGGGATACAAATAGAGGGATGGAGAAAGAGAGAGGGGGTGGGGAGGGAGAGAGAGTGGGAGAGAGAATGAACTCTTTCAATTAATATAACTGCCCATCTTAAATTCACAATTATGGGCAACTAACAATATAAAAAGAACAAGATGTTATTTCAGGCAAGAACTGGAGGCACATCAATATACTTTAGCTTTCCTCCATATAGCGTTTTGATGTGAGATTTTAGGGAACACACCATTTGCAGAGTGAAAAACCTTCAGCTGTCCTCAGCTGCAGAAGGATACTGAGATACAGGCAGAGGAGTGTGGTGTTGTGTTTGGAAAATGGTTAATGGGTGGTCTTTTTGTTTGGAGGGTGTATGGATTTGTCCTTAGCATGAAATCAGACCAGGTAACAGCCCTCCAAAAGGCTATTCATTTTAACTGTGTTTTAAAATACAGTTTGAGAGCCAATTTGATATACTGCAGTGGATGAGGCAACAGGCTAGAAGCCAGGAGATGGCAAGTTCTAGTTCTGACTTAGGCATGAAAGCCAACTCCCAGGGTTCTTGTGGGGAAAATAGGAAGGATTATTAAGTATGTCCGCTGCCTTGATTTAAAAACCCATTAAAGGCAGAATTAAAATCTAAAAAAATACCCATGCAAATTCTCAAAAGGGTTAGTCTGTAAAAAAATACTTCTCTTTTTTTACTATGCATTTTAGATCCTTGGGATATTTTTCACTTCATATTTATCTGGGAGTTTTTGAAATCTATTTTATGTTGAGGTGTATTGTCATATCACCATCTGGGAAAAAAAATCCATGAAAGTGGTTCCTATATGGATGGATGATGTGAGAAAGCACACATGTCCTCTCATGTGGATCCAGAAGGTTCTAGATAAACAGATGTGACACAGATTTAACTCTGTGAAGACGCTGTGAAGCAGCAACAATTGTCTCACTGTTAACTTTTCAAGGAGCTTATATAATGATATAGGGAACCTATCAATTGTAGCAGCTGTCAAAGGACCAATGCAATTATTGTGCTTCTGCCCCCCAAAATAGAGGATCAGGTGTGGATACCAAACTGTCTTCCAAAAATCAAAATATGGGGCAGGATAGCCTCCCCATGGACTGAAAGCTTGGACTGAAAGATCAAGCATTGTGCTTGATCTTTGGCTTGTTTGTTTGTTTGTTTGTTTGTTTGTTTGTTTACTTACTTACTTACTTACTTATTATTTCCCACCCATGTCAGTCAATGACCTTTTTCTTTGCTTATAATCATTGGAGGAAGTAACTTGGTTGCTTCCTTTTCCCTTAAGCTCAGAATTAAAAGGCAGAGGAGAGAGAAAATTGATAGAAAATAATAAATAAAGATGGGATGCAAATAGAGGGATGAGGATGGAGATGAAGAGAGAGGGGGGAGGGAGGGGGGAGAGAGAGGGAGAGACTGTATCAAACTGTATTTTAAAACACAGTTAAAATGAATATCCTTGGTCTAGTTCTTAAGGCACCAGGTTAAAAACCAGGAGACTGACTTCTAGTCCCACCTTAGAAATGAAATCTGCCTAGATGACTTTGGGCCAGTTGTTCTTTTTCATCCCAATTCACTCATAGGGTTATTGTGGGGAAAATATGAGGAGGAAGGAATATTAGGTATGTTGGCTGCCTTGAGTTACTTATAAAATAATAAGGGCAGGATACAGATGAATAAAAAAAACATTGTAGGAGGTCTGTTGTTTCATTTAAGTGTTCCAAAGAAATCCCAAAGGACTATAAGAACACAAATGGTTGTGCTTCACATGGGAAGGCGTTGCATTCCTGATCTCACTGGAGGTGAACATTTATAGGTTCCTTTCGTTCGCAGCTTCTATATTTCTATATTTACAACCTGTCTTTCATGTTCCAAGTTGAATTTCTGTGAAAAGAAGGATGTATTTACTTGCAAGTTTCCCACATATATGTTTTCTTCACACATTCCCTTTTGTCTGTAAGGCTATATATTAAAATTAACTGAATGGATTGTGCATGCCCGATTAGACCTCTAGTCTGTTGGGAGCTTTTTTTGATTTTGCTTTGTTTTACATTCTAAAAATAATTGGTTCTTTCTAGTGAAGTAAAGGGTGCTGTCTGAATTACCTGTGTACAGAATGAGAAGGGTTTCTTGCAGGCTGGGTTGCAATGCCTGGTTGTAGCCGGCTGTAGCTGCAGAGAGCAGCCCCCTGCAAGAACAATTGTCAAGAGAAATCATCGAAGGTACCATTCAAAAATGAGTTAGGAATATCTGCTGGTTATTTGCTGTAGTGAAACGCTGCTTTTGAAAACGGTACATTTACATTATTCCCCAGACACGCTGGCAGAGGATGTTTTAGCATCCATTCTGCCCTGTGAAAAGTCTCGTGCTTGGAGTCTCTGTATTTTTAACGTATACAACCGATATTTTTATATATAGAGAGATAAAAATATGAATATGACAAATGAGTGTTTCAAAGCACAAATAATAAAAAAATATTATAATCATAAAACAGGCAAAATATATATAACTTTATATATAACTTAATAACTTAAGCTGCTGTTTTTTAATTCAATATTTTTTCTGCATATTATACTAGATACTTATCTTCCCTTTCTCCCCCCCCCCCAATTTATTTATTTTTTTGCAATTTTGTTCTGGAAAAAAATTAGAGTATGGTTAATTTTTTTAAAGTGCATAATGTAGTACATGGTCTTGAAGCAACTTTTTTATCAATATATCAACAATAAAAATTTGTGGCAAAAGACATGCAGCATAATTATAAGTTTATTGTGGGCATTTGACAGCTGATGACATTTATCCTTATAATGCACATGAGAAATTGAAGGAGGTGGGGAGTAGAATTAAAAATTAAAGCATCCCAAGCAGGAGTGAAATCCAGCAGGTTCTGATAGGTTCTGTAGAACCGGTAGTGGAAATTTTGAGTAGTTTGGAGAACTGGCAAACACCACCTCTGGCTGGCCCTAGAGTGGAGTGGGAATGGAGATTTTGCAATATCCTTTCCCCAGGAGTGGGGAGGGAATGGGGATTTTGCAGTATTCTTGGAATGGGGTAGGAGTGGAAATTTTGCAGTATCCTTCCCCTGCCACAACCACCAAGCCAAGCCCACAGAACAGGCAGTTAAAAAAAAAAAGACTTTCACCACTGATCTCAAGTGCATCCTTTTAAGTTTACAAAGACTCAGCCCACTTCTCCTGAGATGGCATATGGAAGAAGTACAGCGCTTGTCATTCTGCTTAGAAATGCCCCTATATTAATCAGATGAAAGATTCTACATACACAGTAGTATGTTGAATGCACTGAGATTGAATGGCAATCCCAGGTGAGATGGGAAGCCCTTATAAAAGAGGAGATGGTGAAAGGGCATGTCTTACCATTTCCCCCTTTCTTTTCTCTCAAGGGCAATTTCCTAACAAATAAGCAACTTTTTAATATTTGCCTAAGAACAAAGGTGTGAGGGTCAAGGCATGAAACTGACGCAGTGGAAACGTCTTTGTCACGCTTCAGCATTATAATGTTAGACAGGTTAGAAATGGACGTAGGTATTTTTGATGATTCTTGTGAGGAAAAGGTATGTGCTACCATATTAGAATTTGAATAAAGGGCTAATAGGCTACTTTCTTAGAAGAAAAGCAGCCAGGAAGTGAAGGACACTGAGAAAAAAGAACTAGGGCTGCTGTATTTGGGCTGCACAAATTTGGATGACCCTCATATGACATCAATGGCATTAGAATTTTCTACATCTCTTTGCTGTCTTTGATTCACTGTTCCTGTCTGCAATAAAGCATGATGGAAGAGCTTTGTTTTTTAAAAATATTTTTTAATTTCCATTTTCACAACATACAATCACATGTATACTATACATAGCCAGTATCATATAGTAACAAATAATGATCACATCAGTTCCTCTTGTCATCAACACCCCCCAAAAAATAAAAAATAAAAACCCATTATTAGCTCTTCTGCTCTCCATACACCTCCCTCTAATGGAAGAGCTTTGTTGATAAACCTCTTTAGAGGTAAATAATTGCTTGTATCCTATTGTATGCTATCTGTTTATAGAATATTACTATTAAATAAAGTTTTAATTATCTGTAATCAACTTGAACTGAAGACATAATATAATATGCAGTTTTCCTAAGTCTAAGATATTATTGGTATCAGGAGAAGAACAGATAAGAGAGGTGACAGTTTTATTATAAGATCAGCACAGTGTGTGCTGGTTGAAATAAATATAACATTAGATGTTGGTTAAAAATGCATATCCAAATGAGGCTCAGCTGCTATAAACTCCAATTCTAAGCCTAATGCCTTCTACTAAATACACATTA